GCCTATGACTTTTTTTTTTTCTTGTCTCTTGTTTTCATTTATTACCTTTTTATTTTATGCAAACATTTACTTGAGTATGGCATTAATTGGTATGCCATGACAAGCAGTATATATTTAGAAGACCAGAATGACAGGTATTCCAAGCATGACCCTAGTCTTACACATTACTATCTTCAGTGCAGTTGCTTAGTTCACAGGTATTAGCATATATAGTTAGTCAGAGTGAGAATCCTACCAATTAACTGCCAGTTTCAAAAACCTGATGATGTTTCTCAGGATTATTTCCTTAACCATTTTGGGCCTACAAATGTATGGTTTTTGCCCCTGTTGTGTTTCCTAGCTTTTCTCCTTGCCCTGTCTTCATTGTCTAATCCTTAAGTTCTCACTTTCCTTTTAATTGTGTTATATCTTTCTATTTTTATTTCTCCTTTTGAGTTCCTACAGTAGGGAGACAATAAGATATTTACACATGTGGGTCTGGCTTATTTCACTTATGAGTATATCTTCAAGTGGAATCCACTTAAATATAAAGGCTTTGGGTTTATCATTCTTTATAGCTGAGTACTACTCCATTGTATAAAAATACCACATCTTTTTCATCCATTCCTCAGGTGACAGGCATCTTGGTTGTTCCCAAGATTTGGCTTTCACAAATTGTGCTGCTTTAAAAATAAATGCACACATATCACCATGATATTATGAATATTTTGCTGAATTCACACACCTATAATATTTACATGACAATGGAATAACCATCTCTGACAGAGCTAAACAAAAAAGGGGATACAAATGCAGGACCATTTTGTATCTATATATTCAAAATAGTTACGATAGATATACAGCTACTTTCTCTTAATTCAGTGAATAGAAAGATTTGTACTAATAGTGTTTATGGATAGGATATCATGTCTGCATCTTGTACTATGAATAACCATTAAGAAGAAAACAATATGCAATGTATTAATTATTGAAACTGTCCTACTAATTGGTTTTGAAACTATCTCATTGCTATGTTTCTCAATAAAATTATTTTAAAAAATTAAAAAATAGAATATCTGTATCAGAGAGTATGTATTTCAGATTTACAGACATTTCACAGTGTTTTAAATGTATAGGAATTTATTTTCTCTAATGTGGAAATAGCTTTTCTTTGCTATCACAATTTTTGCAAAACGTTTAAGAATATTATCTCTTGGGCTGGGAGATAGCTCAGTAGAATAAGTGCTTGCCTGGCAAGCTCAAGGGCCTGAGGTTAATAATCCCTGGTTCTGCAAAAAAAAAAAAAAAAAAAAAAAAAAGTTGAAACAAAAAGCAATATTGTCTCATTAAATAGGACAAATCTTTCTTGTACAAATATTCTTTGTAAATTTTAATTTAATGGCTTAATACTATTTGGCTGACTGGATGTGACATAGATTTTCATTAATTATTCCATAATCTTTGCTACAGTTATTAAGATACAATTAATATTAAATACTTTTGAGATATGATAGCTTTAATTTTCTTTTATTTTTAGAGTTTTCCTTATGATAGATTCATAGAGTTTACTGGGGCAACTGAGGTGTTATAGTTACTAAAACAAAGGATAATAATTTTTATAGTCTCAAAATGCCTCTTTAGCAGGTCTCAGAAGTCTTTGTCTTATTTGTATAGCATTTATTCCATATTTTCTTCTTATCTGACCACAGATGAGCTCTAAATAACCTGTTGTTTTAATATTTAAAAGTATGAGCTTTATAATATTAAATCTGACAGATACAAGCTATTTTATTTTTTTCTTTTCACTAAAATAAACGGACACCTTCTGCTAATTCCAACTTTTTCTTTCATAGCTTTTGAATAGACTTACTTTCCAAAATCATGCTATTGCCTTATTTCCCCCTTTTTTTCCTTTGCTCAAATTGTAGAGAAAACCTTTTAAAACTGGTGTTATCCTATGTTTTTACCCTCCTTAAGATATTATCTTCCATTGGCCCAAATAATCTTTCTGCAGTATAGATTTGAAGATTAATACTTCTCTTAAAAACCAAAAGGCTATTCTTGTTTGTACAGCCTTTTCTATTTCCTTTTTCCTGGTTTTTTGTTTGTTTGTTTGTTTGACCTCTCCCTGTACATTCTTCTCATATTTTTGAACCTTACAGCACTCTTCTATCTCCTTTTTACATCTTAGGTTATGTGATTTTTTTTTTAAGTACTCAAAACTGGCCTACTTTTTCACCCAGTTTTCCTTGGTGCCCCTTTTTTGGTACTACCTATCATTTCTCCCCCATTTAATTACACTATGTGCTTCTTGAAACATCTGTTCTTCTATCTTCTTTATCAAATACAGGACAGCATTACATCATAGTTGTAATATTTGTTAAATAATTGTGAACATTTCAGAGATTTTCATCTCTGCTAGCATTTTTAGTGTATGAAAAGTTTTAATTGTCTATTTTATTTTTTATTCATTCCCCTAAGATAATTTTCCACTTTTTTCTGCTCCATAAACTATGCATCATTCATTTCAACCATTTAAGTAGCTATCAACATTGTTTAGCATTATGTTTTTTAAAATCCTGTTTCTTTTAATTTAAATGTTTTGTCCTCTCTTCCTCCTGTCATATTGAACATTTTTTGCAGTCTTTGAAGCTTGTCAGACTAACCTAAGTTGATTTGATCACTTTTCATCTTCCATGTACACAGACTTGCTTTTTATTGCACTTAATCACAATATATTGCAGTTCTTTTTATTTTTGTCTTCCCTAGTGAACTTGGTTCCATTGAGATCTGCCAAATAAAAGATAATAAAAAATGTTTAGTGAATAAATGAATATGTATGAAAACTTCATTTTAGTCAATCAGATACCCTCTTTTGGAGCTCTATCACGTTAATTTGTAAGCATGCTTGCCAAAGGGCCTTCTAGAGTTACACATTGAATGATTTCCCCCAAAATGAATTTAGTTAGGAATTAATTAATGCATATTATAGATATAATATTTTTATTTTCTAGAGAGAGAAATAATA